GCTACAATTCTTAAGGCACTTTCCTCTTGGAGCGAATACTCATATCCAATCCTAAGTCGTTTAAAATTGCAAAACTAAATACTCTGACTATGCAAAATAATTCTCTGATTTATGCGCTACTGTTTCCAAGCATTATTGATTTTTGCGCTGCAATTCTTAAGGCTTCCCTCTTGGAGTGAATAGCCATATTTATTTGGAATTCAAAGCGCATAAATAAAAAATAGACTTCGATTGGATAAGCATGTATTTTCACAATTTTTTATGAATTATAAATATTAATGTTTGCTCCAAGAGAGAAGTGTCTTAAGATTTGCAGCGCCAAAATCGAAAATGCTTTGAAATAGTAGCGCATGAATAACGCATAAATCCTGTGTATTATAATTTTCCAAATCGATTGTTTTTAACAAGCGGGGGAGGGGGGTTGACTGCCTACTCAACCCTTCCACAAAAATTTTTTTTTAGTTATAAACGGAATAAGCGCAAAAATTTTTGTTTATGGATATTGTCGATGCCGTGTGGATATACGGAGGTAGGACCGAATAAAGTGAGTCAAACTTGGTGGGTAAAAGCATGGTTTAGTGAAAAGCGTGTGATCTTAGATACACGTTGTACAGAAGTAAGTAATGTGCAGCAGTACAAAAAGGATCGAGTACAGCTGAGGATTGATATCGATGTATCGACTTGGTGTGAATCGCGATCTCGGCAACAGATATGAATAGCGGATAAATAGCACATTATTACATAATTTTTTCATTAAGATTTGGTTAAATGGGGGGGGGGGGAGCAGCTAGGCAAACGTCTCCTAGTTCTTTTCTACAAGCATAGTATTGTTCTTTGAAATTTTCTGTAGAGCGCTAGCTACTTATTTTAAACGTGCAAAGTCTGAAACTCTTATATGTAACACATATTGTGACGAGCCAATTGCAGAAGCTGATGATAAAACTATAATTTTTAATTTTTTTTCGTTTTTTGTATTAAATTGCAGCTGACATCCAGTGTTTTTATCGATAATTTTAATTTAATTGTGAAGAAGAGCATTTTCAATTTGTAAATGCAATTAATAGATATAAGCCAATGAAAATTAATTACACTTCATCGGTAAAATAGAACAAGTATCTCCCCCTTAAGAGAAATTAATTTTTTCTTTAAAATTTTATTTTATGTTCTGTTGTTGGTGAATAATGAATTAAAAACCAAAAATAGGTAATCTTCAAAATTTGATTTTACTGCTAAGGGATGATTTTGGACTGCAAAAGATTGTTTATTACATGTCAGAATATTTTCTATGTATAACTAAAGTTTTATAATTTTTTGAATTTTCGAGTTGGGATTTTTTCTTGTAAAAAAAACAGTTTAGTGTGATTGGTTGGGTTTATGAATTTTTGAAGTTTATCGATTATACTATATATGTTTCACAAAATAAAGACAATTTTTTTTGATATACAAAATTAAAACTAATTTATAAGTTTTTGCAATTGTTAGTATTTGTAAAAGTGATCTAAAATATATTTTAATAATGCAATTATATTATAATGTTTTAATTTTTTATATGATTATTCGATAAAATATATGCGGGTGTCCGAACTTCCATGAGCGATAGTGTATGCAGGGTGGGCCAAAAGTCTGGATACACCCAAATATCTTACAAATGATGCATCTTAGAAAAAAAATGTTTTTTACAAAAGTTGTAAGGCTTAAAAAGACGCATTCAACTAATAGTTATTTGATTCTAAGATGGCGTTGTCAAGGTCAGGTTAAGGTCAACATGACCAAACATTTTTAAAATGGAACTCCCCCTTTTTTATTACATATTCTTGTAGATTGTCTCGAGATTTCCAAAACACTATATTTAAGTTCATTTTTATTAAATACTTTGCAAGTTGTAAGGCTTGAAAGTTACAGTACCGCCGACATTAGCATTAAGCAAGATGTCCAACCGACAGGCTAAAACCTTTTGAATGTTGTTCAGGATCATGTCCTGAATAACATTTATTGAGATCAAGGTTATTGGAGATTGTTTCTCTTATTATATTTTCATTTTTACATAAAAATGAATTTTTAGTGCAAAAATGAAAATAAGAGAAACAATCTCCTTGAAACAATGACCTTGATCTTAACAAATGTTATTCAGGACATGATCTTGAATAATATTCAAGAGGTAGGTTTTAACCGTCGGTCGGATATCTTGGGTAATGCTAGTGCCGACGGTACTGTAACTTATAACTCGCAAAATATTTAATGAAAATGAACTTAATTATAGTGTTTTGGAAATCTCGAGAAACTACAAGAATATGTAATGAAAAAGTGAGGGTTTCCATTTAAAACATATTCATGTTGACCTTGAAAACGCCATCCTAGGTTAAATAACTTCTATCGTTGAATGTCTTTTTAAGCCTTACAACTTTTGTAAGAAATATTTTTTTTTTAAATGCATCGTTTATGAGATATTTGGGTGTCTAAACTTTTGGCCCACCCTGTATACAGGGTGTCCCGCAATTATTGACAAAGCAATCTTGTGTAGGTAAAGCGAACTAAACTCAGTCTATAAGAATCCTCTACCATTTTGCAATTTTTGCAATGGCTAACAATATATTAATTTTTAAAGATAGCTAAATAAGCGCATTTGCCCGACCTACTAGTGTCAAGTGTACGCTCCTCTATGCGCGGACTGCGGAGAGTAGGAATTGCCTGGCAAGCGCGTCACTCGAGCCATAGCGTTTATTGAGCGCTTACCAGGCAATTCCAACTCTCCGCGGAGAGAGAGATGTACACTTGGTAGTAGTAGACCGGGCTAATGCGCTTATTTAGCCATCTTCAAAAGTTAAAATTGAAAAATAAAAATCATATTTTGTTAATCATTACGAAAATTGCAAAATGGTAGAGGACTTTTTGACTGAATTTAGTCCATTCTCTCTACACAAAAGCGCTCTGTCAATAATTGCGGGACACTCTCGACCGTCGATTTATAACGACAGTAAATTAATTTTATAGGGCTCTTGATATTCAAAAATAATATTACAATAAACCGGGCAAATAAGAACTATTATACAATTATTATTTGTGTACGTTATACAAAAAATTATTTATTCTTGATGTATACATAAATTAATCCACGTTTCGACTGCTCGTTTCAGCTATTTTCAGGATAATAACCAATAAATTAAGTACTATTATTATAAATAAAATGTAGGCGCGTTTCCACGTACCTCGAGTCGTCCCCCATTGTGTGAACGACTCTTCTTAATCAATTATATGATTTTTAAGTTCTGTATATAAGAATATATATAAATTGAGGAACTGCATTATGTTATACGTAAAATGTGTTAATAAACCGGTTTTATTGAGAAAATGCACCTTCATTCTGTTAAAAAATCTTCAGCACAAATTATATAATTCTGCAAAAGTTATTAGACATGTGTCCACGTCGGAGTTTGAAGTACATTTAATGTAATTTGTGTAGGTCAATGTGATATAGAGATAAAATAAATATAAAAGTAAATATAATTTAACAAATCCGAATTTAACATCCGAATATATACCGGGTGTTTCAGACCACCTGTCCTACCCTTTTATCTTTGCAGGATAAGGTTCAATCGAAAAAGTGTTCAGACAAAAGTTGTAGGGTTTCAAAAGATCTATTTTTTGGTGCTATGAGTTTGACCTCGAGTGGCATTGCCAAGGTCACGTCAAAGTCACGTCGATTTTTTTAAACAGAAACTCTAATTTTTTATTGCATATTCTTGTAGCTTGCTCAAAAATTTTCAAAACACTATAATTAAGTTCATTTTCATTAAGTACTTTTTGAGTTTTAAGGCTTGAAGATTACAGTACCTCCGGCATTAGTATTATCTAAGATATCCAAATGATGGTCATAACTTTTTAAATTATACGGGGTCATAACGTTGACATTTGTCAAAATGAAGACCTTTTGTGGTTGTTCCTCTTATTTCCATTTTTAGAGTAAAATCAAGGTAATAGTTTCTATCAAAAAATTATAATAAGTAAATCGAGTGCACACTATCGAATGGAAATACCTATTTTAAATCCCCAGTTTTGAACGGAAATGAGCTGGTGCCGGTTTTATGGAGGAGAACAGGTAAAATTTATTGTCTGGATCTCGGCTTCCCAAGGTATTCCTTCAGTGTCTTTCGGGTCGATTCGCTTATGTCACATTCTGTTAGCGTGCGTTGTTTACATAGAATCAATTTTTAAAGGTTTGGGTTTCCGTGTTGTGTATACAGAAATCGCTTAATGCCGGTGAAAAGCGAGGGAAGTGCAAATTGTGCAAAAATACAATCACCACTCTCAAATGTAACAAATGTTTTTATTTTACTTGCAAAAAACATTCAACGACAACTATTATTTACAATAATTGTAATACGACTGAAAGTGAATAAAACTTTTTTTTCGTATTTCAATGTTTCTAATATAATATACCATAATGCAATACTTATTTTTTAAAATAAATGCTCAATAATCATTTATATATCATAAACTTTCATTGCATAATGCTTATTTGATAATATTATGCTTTAACCTTTCGAATTTTCAGTCTTATTCTACGGTGTTCTTTGTACACCCGCTGTTAATAATGCTGAGTGACATATTAAAATCTGTAATCAATTGTTATTGCGAAAAATATTACCTTGGCCGGAAGTCGAACCTGGATCTCTTGCTTTCCGGGCGAACGTCCTAAGCCTTTAGACCACCGAGGCTTTAGTAATATTCTTTGCAATAATTAGCATATAAAGGAACAATGTCTATTTAGGCGACGTAAATAAACAATATATTATAGGACCGTATATGTGAACATGTACACTACATTTTCATTTTTGTTAAAGTTGGGCGCCAGGTCCACATCGGTCATAATATATGATATACTAATAATTATTATGTATGTAATAATATATTATAAGTAATATTATAAGTATACTGATAATGATTTAAAGGAAAATAATGTATTGAAAAGAAAAATGAAATGAATATGTGTATCCCTATAGGACAAGACAACAGCAGTGGCCCATTGTATCTCGTATCAAAAGGAAGAAAAATCTCTCTGAAGCAGCATAGAATGGGTGAGAATTTATTAAATTGCCTTTATATTTTGCAGTTTCTAGTAGCTACTTAGAAGCTCAATAGTAATTAGCTCATAATACTGAGTTTTTATTTTGATAAATTGCGTGGATGATTTAGGACAGATGTGAATCTGTTTATTAAAAGAAATTTATTAAAAGCGTTAACTGATAAAAGTCTGCAAGAGTTAAGAGGCAGACCAACTGATCATGTTATTTGCGATGTATAGTAGATATACAGGGTTTATCCAATTTGTAATTGGCATACACTACAAGTTAAGCATTTTATCCCGAATCTATTAAGCCTAATAATTTGTTGAGTTCCAGCGTAGTTAATTAATAAATCATTTTTTATAATTTACGGGTATAAAAACGAATTTTAAAACAAATACGTTACTGACAAATACATTATTTATAAGTTTTCAAAATGCTCTTCATTTTGTTATATCCATCGCTTTATTATTTTTTGTAATATATTTTTCATATATATTATAAATATATACATATTTTATTTTTATTGTATGCATAACGTAGATGAGGGTGACTTGGGATAAGTTTTGCCATATTTCGACTGTAACTTCTAGCGTTTTAACACAATTATTTTGACTCTTTATGTATAAGTTTTTTGAACCAAATAATCGTCCCCCTATTTAAAAAAAAAATATATTTTGTATCCTTTTATTTTTTAAATCAAAGTCAAGTGTCTCAAGTTACCTTCATGAAGGCAATTTGGAACAGCATATATTTTATGGATATCTAAATGTGTTCGCGGAATTTTGGAACGCACTAAGCAATGAGGTGACTAAGGAAAGTTCCATTCTATATCCAAAAGGAAAAGGAAATAATAAATCTATCAGAATAATGATTTATCGTTATTTGAATTGCACATTTGTTTGAATTCTAAATATAAATAATTTTTCTGTAACAAAAACATTAAATGTAAACTGTAATACTGTAATATTATAAACTTAATAGTAATACTTAATATTATAGTAACAAAAAATTTTAAATAAATTTTTTAGATTTTTTTATTGCAAATTTTTCTCTTATTTTTATTATTATTATAATTAAAATACCGTAATTTGAATTATTTTCTATCGATTCAAGAATCCTTCTACGTTTTGTCTCATTGTGTTGAATGTTTATTTAAACATGTCCATGATGATAGACTGACCTGGAGGCACATTGTTTTTTTCTTACGCTGAACTTCACTTTGTTTTAAGCAATCTTCAAACGCTTTGGCCTAAACATTTTTATTGTCCTCTGATAATTTCTTTAAAACTTGATTTCTATCATAGGGAATTAACCTATAGGCTTTAAAGCCAGGTATTGCATTTTGCTTTATATTTTTTATCAACTCTACAATTGTTTTCAATAATGCAGGAAAAAGTGTCTTTGGTACCTTTCCTCGGTTTTTATTTTTCCAATCAAATAAAGTATTATAGATTTCTATGCTCTCTTCAGAGGACGGAAGAATAACACATCTAAAGACTGAGTTAAGTGCGTACTGTTGGGTGGCAGTAAGATGAAACATATGTCGTGTCTCTCACATTGTTCTATCACAGATACAGATATGTGACTCCCAAGATTGTCGCCAATTATTGCTTTGATTCTTTCTCATTTATGTAAATATGTTAGTGCAACTTTTGTGAACTAGTCTTCACAGGGAGCTATTAAACCAACCACTGGAACTGCAATTGTAAGCAGTTCTCTCTGGACCTCCTTCTATCCATACATTATAAACGTGTTTAGCTTTATAAACGACATAGGGCGCTAACAACTGTTCGTCACCAGCAATTGCAAACATAATAGATATGCTACTTTTTGTTATATCAATTATTTCCGGACGTTTTATATCTTTATGAATTACCATTTCTTACCCTGGATCATCACACATGTTGGTTTCATCAAAGTTGATTAAGTTGCCTGGATTTATACCAGCAAAAGTCATTTCTAAATTATTAAAATAATCATTGATTATATTCCTAGAGATCATTGCGCGAGATCGCTTAACACAAAGACTTGGATAATTTTTATGTTGTTTTATAAATTCTTGTAACCAAAAGTGATCAGGTAAAGTGACCATGAAATATTTTTATTCTAATATAGTCGAGATACTTCTCGACTATATGTTTTAAGTCTGTTGGAGTAAGTGGAAAGTCCCATTTAACTGCAGTGAATAATTCGTGTATGATGTGGTTCTCGTCGGCTTTTGTTAATACGGTCTGACCTCCTGGAGAATGAAAATTTAGATCTTTAAATTTGCGGTATAAAGTTGACTTCGAAATGCCATAAGCTTCAGCAGCTGAGATTTACGTAAGGATTTGCGTCCCTTAGCAACATCCTCTAATGCGTCATTAAGAGTTTTCTCATCGAAGTCTTTGTATCTTCTCGTTTGCCCGGCTTCCGTTTATATGTTGTAGGCATTTTTTTATTAATTTTGTTCCAAGTCATCTACAAAAACAAATATTTTAATAAAAACAATAATTATAGGTTATGTTTACAATCATAGAGTTTTAAATTCGCTTTATATTCACAAAATATGCCACTTTATGGTAAATGTAATAAGATTAATTAAAAAAATTATTATCTGAGTTTCAGTAAGTTAAAGTTGTCTTATTCAACAATTGCTCAATTTGCCTTGTCGTCTTTCTGATTTTTTTATTACTATTGTTAAAGTGATTAAAGGCTATCGTAATAATTTAAATACATTAATCGATAAGGAAGAAAATGATAATTTTTTAAGCTTCTTCTAGTGAATTATAGAGGGAGACAACGGCTGAATGTAATAAATGTACATTCTGTCCCAAGTCACCTGCACTTTTCCAAATCACTTTTATCTACAGTAACTCATTTAATTATATCGTTTTTACTTTATTTTAAAATCTTTTTATCTAGCTTTATCTAGTTGCGAAGGCGGAATTTAATTTATCAACTATTTCTCGGTTTCTATTAGATTCTTATAAATAAAATTTCTTTAATCCTCAATTAGCGCACTATATCTTATTCGAGATTTTGGAGCACATAGGTTTGTGTTAAGATGAAATCACACGATGCTTAATTTCTTGAATGATAAGCATACATGCATGCTGCTATGCTTGCTTTGATGTATACAGTTTGATGTTTGATAAATAACTATGAAATTAGCAATTATTTCTTTTGATTGCAAGGGAATAAGCTATGAAGTAATCCATAATATATATAAAAATCATGTATATGCAGCATGCAGCGCTTAATGCATGAACGAATTCTAGCATACATCAGGCATGATTGTATGCATGCTATTATTCAAGAAATTGAGCATTGTGTGATTCCATCTTTACTACGATGTTTTCAATTGCATATATCTTTATATGTAATGCACAGAACTTGAACAATTTTTTTTTAATTGGTATATCAAAGGATCACAAAGAAGAATGAATAGACGTGGAAATTGAAAAATGGAATCCGTATTACAAATCAAACTAACCAAGACTCATTGCATAGTCAATGGGGACGTTAGTAAAGAAGTTCACAACATCTAGTGACATTAACTGAAATTCATCAGTCTACCATCAAGTTCCTTAACAAGTTTAAAACTATTTTCAATATGACTATCTGCCTTAGGAATTGTTTTTATGATAATATTATGAAGAAACACTGCTAACGAATATAAAGGGCTATTTATCGAAGAAACTATTATACGAAAGGGACAGTCCTGCTTATGTATCTTCGGAAGAGCGTAAGCTCTCGGAAATATCCCATCATTACTTAACAAACTTCTGTGGAATTAACTATATACTTTTTTTCTTTCCAACTAACTAATAAAGCGTAAGCCCGTTATCATCCTTTTCGTCCGATCCCTTTCAACTATCTAATAAGTATTTACATCCTGAAGCATCTCATTTACCCTGGAAATGTACATCTGTCTATCCAATACTACCGTCACATTCCTCTTATCTGCACGAATAAAAATAATCCTATTATTCATATCCCTTAAAAAAAATCCTAGTGTCTTTCACTAGCTGTGACAAACTCCTATCTACCTCCGTAGAGGCGTAATATGTAGGGGTAGTATGTTCCCGAATATAGGTAACAAAGCTAAGCTATTTAGTACAAGAAATGAGTAGTTTGAGATCGAGATCCGCTCATCAATAGGCAATTTGTAAATATTACTTTCAATACACTTAATAAGATCAACCGTTAAATCCAATCTATTGTTTAAAGGTAAGGCAAAGTTATCTCCCAATTGTAAAAAGTTCTGTATTGTTAGGAGGTATGGACGGTTGATAGATTCACGAACCAGCCATTCCTAAATGAAGGAGAAGGAATCAGTGGAAAAAAGGACTGAAAATTAATCTGCATTTTTCTAACTGTCTCAACATTTGGATTCTGTACGTTAGGATACAATGACAACTTAACATTAACACTCCAACATTTTATCCCTGCCATCAATGTCAACAGCGGACATTTTCTTCTGATAATACTGAATAGGCCTGATATTTTTAATATTATTAGGTGTAGTAAAAAGTCATCGCGTATTTTTAAAAGACATCTATCAGTAAAAACCGCAATTACTTTCTTACCAACAATATAAATATATCTTGATAGAGTAAAGTTTCAGCTTTAAAAATCTCTTTTTTAAATTATACGATACGACAATTTTTAATGGAGTTATGAGCAATTAAAGTCAAAATAATTCTTTTATTTAATCCGCGATAACTCAGTAATCAAAAGTCGTAGGAATATAAAAAAAAAAAACGATTTTGTAGGGAATGTATCAAGCTTTTACGATAGGTAATCGAAAATTTTCTCAAATTCGTTTTGGACACGTTACAAATCCACAAAGTGAAAAGAAAATTTTTCGTCTTTTTCAGCTTCAGTTTTTGTAAAAATTTTTATGTAAAAATTATCAAACTCATATAAACTTAAAAAATGTGATAAGCTTTTAAAAGTAGAGATTTCAAGCTTTAAAACCCTTTTTTTAAATTTGAATTTCATTCATTATTGACGAAGATATTGTA